GAGTACAAATAACAGGTATACCAGTTTAGCAGTGCATACCATGATGTATCTCTGCTACACATTTTTTGAAACCATAAATCGATCAATGTTAGACCACCTTCAGAAACCTGGAAGCACTGGAAGGCCGTTTCGTCCTGGTGTCGAACTCATCAGCAGTGCGCCCCACATGGTTCGAACCCAGGACCTACTGCGTTGTGCGAGAACGCTGACCACTAAACCAAGACCCGGCATATAGCCAGAATATTATCACTACTTGGTCATTATATATATGTACATGAAAATGTAATAAAAATTTAAAATACCATTGTATGGTAGGGTCTCTCTTTTGAATAGTCGTCAATTTTATTCACAATCCTATTTCAATATTTGTATCATTAAATGATTTTTTTTGTCATGTTTGAATTAACGTCTATACAATCCAACAGGTTATTAATAATCCTGAGTTTATCAGAATTTAAATATGAAAACATTGAAAGTGGTAAGTTATCTCATATGCCAATCGGGATAAGTCATAATTTCAGGTACGTAAACTATGTTCACTAGGAAACTCTGAGAATTAAAAGTAAATAAACGAAAAAAAAATATACGAATACATGATTCACAACTAAAGGTTTTGTTCTACGAACTAACGCATTTTCTCTCTCTGATCATCATACTATTAAACATGCTATTAAACAATGCTACAAGCCTAGAATTATTGATTACTGTAACACCATTTAAAATGTTCAGCAAAGTGACTACATAATGTAAAACTGAATGCATGTTATATGCATAACAATAATTCAGTATAAATTTACCAGTTTTCTATTTCCTAAATACATATGTACAATTTTTCCTTGTTACAATCATCTATCTAAATCTATACATTTTTTTATGTTGACTGACATTATACCATGGTTAGTGAACCAGATAGTTGAAAAATAACTCACATACGTGGTTTAAGATAGGTTCTCGATGTCGCTATGAGAAATGACAGCGGATACGTTTGGACGGAGACAGTTATCACTGCTGACACTTGATATTCGATTCATCATATCAAGACTAAAGTTTATCAGTGCTCTTCAAGATTGTGATTAAAACGAGTCTTAGTCGTCATGATGTCTATACTTATTGCGCTTAGTCAGTCGTAAATACCGATGGACTTGCCATTGAGTGTATCTAAACAGTAGAAAAAGCTGTTTATTACATCATAGACTTCTTCAACTGATATAAAGTCCACCAAAAAATTATGGTCAGTGAAAACTGAAATTATTCAACTAATCATGGCTCTGTCGATCCAAATATTCTAGTGCAGTGTTGACAACCAAAGTATATTGCTGTACTCTATTTTCCAAAAATATATTCCTGAAATCGAACAAACATATGTATCTGTTTTCGTAGTAAACAGAAAATTTATGAATTCTGATCGTGAATATTATTGAAAACAGTATTATTATATCATAGGATTGACTTTTTATACAAAGGTGAATTCAAATAACAAAATGTAAACTTGAAATATATTTGAAAACATTTTAAGAAGGTATTCTCTTTTATTATTCCAACAAACAAAACTGATTCATGTGTCAAGTTCTATTGACTAGTATTTTAACTGGCATGCTTTTAGTATGTAAGCAGGGAAAACATTAATCCTTATATGACCTTCGTTATTGGTATTTACTTAAATATTTAAAGATTTAAAATGTGCAACTTTGTAAATATGGTCTAAATAACTTTCATGCAACTTGTAAAATATCGATGTCTTTCGAAACTTTAAATTGCAAATGCTTAAACAGATTGTTTGTCTTGTTGACCAGAAATTGATCGGGTTATTATTACCTATAGTGAAAAGTTCGTTATTAATTATTGCTTATTTATTTATATATACTGAACAAATAGCGTCTACTATGGCTTATTAAAATTAAATATGACATCATATAATTTCGTCATGATAATCATTGTTTTGTAGATTAAAATATTTTATGGTACAACAAATATTTATTCAATAAATAAATCTCAATTTTATACGCTTCAATTAGTTCTCTTTTTAAAGACAATGTCCGAATAAAAATTATAGCATTTATAATCAGCCATCCATAGTTTACATATTATTTGTAAAGCGCGTATTTTTGAAGTTAGTTCGACTTGAAAATATAGTAGAAAGCAATAATGCAATTAAGATATGGTTTTTTTTAAAAAAATTGTACAGTTAGCGAATGAATAAATGAACTGACGGTGTAAAATTAATTTTTTTAATGGTCAAAAACTACTCCTATATAATTTCAATTGACAATTTTATGTTATTATCACTGAATAAGTTGAAATAAACTTCTCAAACTAATCTTTAATCAGATGATTAAATTTCAACTAAACTCACGGACAGCTTACACCAGCATGCGCTATTTAAATTTTAATGCAGCTGATTCCTTGGAGAAATAATGTATATCAGTGGTGTTTACGATCGAGTCAATGTTTGCAAAATTAATGAATAAAATCTTGACTTAAGTAATAATCAAAATCAAAATGAATCGTTCCAGTTTTATGATGAAAGCAATGCATTGTTTTAACTTAATCTAAGTGTCCAATAGTGGATTTTTCAATAGTTTGAAGTTGAAGTTTTCCAGCCAGAAAGTGGAAGATTACGTAGCAAAAACAAATCAATAGTCGCTAAGATATTCATTCTGTTTCAGTAAGAAATTATTTATCAACAGATGTAGCACAAACTTAAAACTTACAATGGAATGCTATTTATCTGACAAAATACGGAGAAATATTATTGTCATCTACCCTGAAACTACAACAAACAATACACGAACACCATCTATCCAGTATTGTACTTTGAGGAACACAAATTATTCTAAGCTAATTAAAAATCTCATTGATAATGTGAAGAAAATAGTAAGTTCAGGTTGCAATTGCTACCCGAGTCTATAATGATGTTATTTTCGGAATCTTAATGAACAAAGTCAGTTTCTCTTTTATTTACCTACCTTTAGGCTAGTAGTTCACTGAAAAGACCGATACTGACTTTATCCTTCTTTACAATATGCCTAGGAGTTTAATTAATATGATTCACTTATTTGCATGTAATAACACAGGTCTCTAAGACGTTATTCTCTCTGTTTACAAAATATATTTTTGAATAATATGTCTCTCTTTTAGTCATTTACAGTATAAAGCAGAAACATATTCTGATTTTTCTTTTTACACATGTTTTTTTTAATTGTGGCATTATTTTAAAATGTAATAATTCATTGATATAATGTTTTCTTTTTAAATCTTGCTTTCTGTGTCCAGTATTTATTCTATCATTGAGATGTCTGTTCGTTTAACGCCTTTATTATAGATCTTTATTAATTTGGTTGTTGATGTTATGCTCACGTATATGGATGACTTGTGCCGATACATATATTAGTTTCCTGCTCATATATGTTGAAGACTATGACATATATATATATATATATATATATATGTACATACAATGTATGCGTATATATTTTGTATTTTTCAATAATCTTACACTTACTCATTCGCACATGTTTATCTACATTGACTACTGATAGTCGCTGTAGTTCCGTCACCCATGTCCCAAACCCTAATGTTACACCTTATTACGTAAAGGATTGTAGCTAGGGAAAGCGAAGCTATGAAATATAGTGTTACAGTTGTTAGTTTGATTTCAATCGTATTTTTAAAGTTAACTGTATATATGAATTCTTTTTATCGTCCTTTACTACATGTGTATATTTTTCAAAAACTTAAAGGTTATATGAAATCAGTAATATAAGTGAAATTATTAAAAAAAAGAGAAAAAATTTGTAAATACATTTAGGATAACGAAACGAATTTTGAATTTTTCATTGAAAATAATTGTCATTGTTAGTCTACTATTATTGTTATTATTATTAATATTGCGATAAAATTACATAAGGCTTGTAAGTATCAGTGAAAGGAAAAACCGCTGGTAAAAGGAAGATAAATTTTAAAAAAATTTCATGTCGATTGTTTCTGTAAAGTATATTGCACATTTTTTGTGAATACAACAACTGAACCTGATTTATTATCAGAACATTAATTACCCGATACATAAATTTTACACTTACAAATCAACTGAACTATAACAAAGTTTGATGTAAAAATTCTCTCTTACCATTGATAACGATTGATGATGATGCTTTTCGCAAACCAACATTTGAATACACATCATATTTTTGAGAGACATCAATACATTGTCTCCTCTGATGAACAAGTTAACATATTGGAATTTGTCGTACTTTTTTTAAAAATAAAATCTGAAGAAATAATAATAATTATTATACATTAATTACTGATTTTGCAATTTTTAAAAAAAAAATATTTAACATACTGGTTAGTACACTACGTTAGGAATATAATTAATGATGAAAAATCTTTGGTAATTAATAAATAAATCAATGTTTCTAGTTTAGAAATTTGTGATAAATCAGCCAAAAAGTCACAATATCTCTCGTAGATTTCAATTCCTTTCAGTAGGTAAGTTAAAATCCTAAATTAATGTTTTTATTTCGCGCATACGTTTTACTTTAAGAATGTGTTCTTAATCAATGAAAGCTATGGTTAACAAACAACTAACTATCCATAATATCACATTTTATCTAGTGCTGTTTTTTTATTGACCAGGAGAATGATTTTAGAACGAGCATTGGACGTCAGAAATGGCAATTTTATTGACTAAATTATTTAAAGATTTAACAGTATTACTAACTGACTAGAATGCGATATAGAAGGAGGAATATTTGAAGTAAAATGTTCAGCGAATTAAGTACAGAATTTTTATAGATGTCCTATTATGTAATCTGTAAGGATGATGCGATATGATGTATGTACATCACATGTACTATGTACGTTGTGTCAACATTTAATGTTTTTCGAAATGTTCAGAACTTTTATGGCATCTACATGAGTAATTTCTGTAAGAAAATTTACTAAGTATGATTAATTGTTGACAGTAGGTTATTAACGAAATATTTTTCTTTAATTTTCAGATAATAAATGTAACAGTGTCGTATAAATAACTAATCGTATTTTCAAACTGGAGAACAACTAACAATCAAGTTGAATCATTGCAGAGAGCAGATATACAACTATCTCAGGAATTTCATGTTTTCAGAAACAGAGAAATTAGCTATTCAACATATCACAGATATCGACTGGCCTAACGGACCACCAGATTTCTATGTGAAAGGATCATCTTATGCAGTTACCCAGAGTCAGTTAAGAGAATTGGAATTAGCTTCAGGTTTGGGTATTGTAAATTCTACAAGTATTGTTTCACGATTGCCGTTTGATCAATTTCAAGAAGAGCCATTTCATTACTGGGCGATGATACTGTTAATATTTCCACTAGTCACAGTGTTTGGCAATGTACTGGTTGTGTTAAGTGTATTTCGAGATCAAAATTTACATACAGCTACGAATTATTTCATTGTCAGTTTAGCTATTGCAGATATTAGTTTGGCCATTGTTGTCATGCCTGTAGCTAGTTGGGTTGAGGTAAGTTGATGTTGAAGTAGATGTCTTGCATTTCCATCAACAGAAATGATTTAGATGTAAATTTTACTTAAACCTTTTTGAGACCTCCCCGTTTCTCATTTACCCGACAAATTTTGATTTCTTTGGCTTTTTGTCAAACAGTCTGGTGTGACAGATAGCAATACTCCCTAGCTATTCAAGCTAAGAAGTTAAATAGGGGTTCAAACCCCTAGCTTCTTGTTTAGAATCTGAATGCTCTAAGCATCAGTCATCGATAAAAGCTTAGTGATTAATTTATTTTCACTAGAAACGTGTATGACACAAATCTGTCCATTACATATAATATCTAAGCTGGTCACAATATTAAATATCTTTCAAAGCTAACCGAGTTTATTTGTTCAAACATACGTTAGACAGTGTACAACAGGTGGATTCGTAAGTCACTTAAGAAAATGCTATAGAAAATAATGTAAAACCAGACCATTTGAATAGGATTAATTTTGTGTGACTCTCAAAATTACTTGTTTTCATTCTTTCAAAATATTAACTTTTTGATGTTGTTCAATGTCCATTGATTTACTGTTTTTGTGAATTGATATTTCCTTTTTTAACTTTGTTGTTTTTTGTTTAGGCTAATGATGGAAAATGGCGCCTTGGTACTGTACTGTGTGACATATTTATTATGTTTGACGTACTTTTGTGTACAGCATCTATTTTAAATTTAGCAGCTATTAGTATGGACAGGTAAGCTATGTAACCAAGTGATACTTTATAGCTAGATAATAATTGGATAATATTGTTCGTATTCAATTGTCCTACTGGATATTTTGACACTTCAATCTCTAAGTTTATTTATTCGGTGTGATAAATTCTCGATGTCAAATTATACACTGAATATGAAATAGGCAAAGGATTTTGCCGATTAAAAATAGTCAGAATAAATGAATTCAGAGTTAGGAATAATGTTGACTGGATATGAAAATTTAGATGTAAATCAAATCAAATTATGATAAAGAGATTGATTATATTTCCTAACGACTCATCCCAAAATGTCATTTTCCATGACTATAAACAAACTTTCAGCTGAATATCAATGATCATTTTCCAAATCTTACAATTAAGCTAGTGTGTAAAAAAAGTTCATTGGATTTCATTTATTAAAATTCGTATATCACTGTCAGCAAGTTTCTTGCAAACAATTTAAATGTATAAAAAAAATTAGTAACACCTTTGTATAATAGTTGAAAGATGAATTATTCTAAACTTTTCAACTTAAAATATGGAAAACTACTTGCTTAGGAGAAACATGAATACTGTTATACTTTCAATGTTGCAAAAGTCAATAAGTTGACACAATACGAACTTAAAGAGGATTTTTTCCATGTCCGTTAGTTCGATTAAGAAACAAAACACACACAAATATAATATGCTTGCAAATAAAACCAAAAAAAGGTATTCACCATGTGATATTTATCTATCATTACGGGGTTGTGAAGATTGTTAAGTTACACATTTTTGAAACCATGAATCGATCAGTGTTAGACGACCATCAGAAACCTGGAAGCACTGGACGGCCGTTTCGTCCTGGTATGGGACTCTTCAGCAGTGCGCATCCACGACTCTTGCACCTATCAGTCAAATATTGCACATCGCGTAACCTTAATCTAGTTCCAACACAGCACTGATACATTAGGCAACAATTAGGCTTGATCATTAGGACTTGATTTCATGGTCCTATGATTGACCTACCTGACCCACATCTAACAAAAATAATTGGCATTTTAGATTATTAATCCAAACCATATTTATTGTGCGTCAAATATTTTGCAAATGCTAACTTTTGGGCATTAAATTCACTCAAATTTGTGAACAATCATCATCATAATTTAGACAATCAACTGACCCCAAATACCTTGTAAATTAAATCAATTCTTCCCTAATAGAATCAGTGTCATTTATTTCTGATTAATGCATTTTTATTGAATCTACCGAACATAAAAAATATTCGAATCAGTTTTAGGTAATAGCTAAATTGATTAAAGTACATATTTTATCGACCGGCAGCTATTTGACCTGAAAAGGTTACATTTCAGTCAAATAAATATGTTCGCGTTATAATATAAACAAAATAAAACAAGTTTGAAGTCATTTTTAAATAACTTTGTTTTTTTTTTAATCAAAATCATCAAAACCAGTTGCTGATTACTAGAAATTCAAAGCCATTGTCAGTACAATGAGTTATGACTATATTATAACATTCGACCACTGACTTAGTTCATGTGGCAAAAACACCGCTGATAATACGGTTCAGTACGAGTAAAATGAATTAATTTATTTCATAAATTCTCTTCAACTTAGTTTGACATGTAGATATAGGAGGAGACAATAAATGTGAGCGAATATTAATTGTTCAAGTGTCTCATTGTTTCTCGGCTACATAAAAGTTTATTTTAGACGGAAAAACTGAGCAGAGAATAAAACCAAAATATTTCCCAATTACAGATTTAAAACAAAAGTTTTGATTCTGTGAAAAAAGCCGAGTTAAGTCTGGAAGCAACAAATTAGAAATCGAAATGAAAGACACAAAATACCCTCAATTAACAATCCCAATGGAGACGAGATCACTAATGTCAAAGAAGGTTATTAATTCAATCTTTCTGATTGCATAAATTCAGTTTAAACCATCTTCTTACAGTTGCTTCAGTGATGTACAGATGAGAAAAATGGAAGACTTGAAGTTCTTATTACCAGAATATTCAATATTCACGAGAATTGCTTGGGGATAATAACAACTGGAGATGGTTAAAAAAAATACAAATTATCAATAAAAAAACCAGAGGCACACTGGAGATGAGGATTAAGACAGACAGACAGATACAACGCAGAACTTCGTACGTAAGTACATCAGTTCAGTTGCCATGCCCCATCAGCACAGAGACGCAGCTGTCAGTTCAAATCCAAGAGTGATGGCTATAATATAAGTATTAGCAGTAATGGAGCAGATTAGGGAGCGAAGATTTGATTCGAGAAGTATAATTCAGTCAGATAAATTTAGAAGGAGAAAGGTAGAGATTATTAGGAATGCAGAAGCTTAGAATTTCAAAGAACACAAAGAGTGGATGCACCTGCGCCATTGCAAACGATTCTGAGCCATGTCGTTTAAGGTCTCTAACCATTGGTGACTATCGTCTCTCGGACCCCAACCAGGTAGTCTACATCTACCAACATGACTCAGTCCACTTGTCAGTGACTTCATGGATTTGTGCCATGTATGGGTTGGCCGCCGCTAGGTTTCTTCCAATCTACTCCTACACTGCAAAACATAGCTCGTCGGGGCAGTCGGTGGTTGGGCATACGTAACACATGTTCCAACCACCAGATGAGGATTAAGGGAACTTACTTTCCTCGAAAATTAGGTGTATATGTTCTCATGATACAGTCGATAGCAAATAATCATCAGTAATGGCTATCCACTCATATTCGTGTACAAGAACTTTACACCAAGATTACATCCAGGAAAACTACTGGCATTTCAAAAGAAAACGCTTTTTTATCAATATTAAATTTCAAGGAGATACGGCTGTCGAAATCCCAAACAAACGGAAAACCTTCTATTCAGTCAAACTTTGTAATGTCTTCTCAAGCCAAACAGCCGTTCATAGAAGATGAATTTCCCCTTTAGTCCAGATCGATGGGCACCTATAAATTTACTTGCTCCTATAAGGTAGGTCACATTGTCCGCACAAATCGATTACTCTCCGAACGTATCTCAGAACATTACTTGACGTAGTTTTCAAGATTGGAGTGCTAAGCAGATACTAACTCATTGCACGAGCATCTGATCAACTCTTAGCACTTTGATCCTAAAGAGTTGTCCTTTAAAGTAATATATGCACTCAAATGGATGTGGAATCAAAAAACATATACACTGCTGAGTTGTTGAAAATCCACCAATTCAAGCCCAAACATTTTGCGTAAATACAAAATGTCCAAACTCAGATCTATTCCCCTTCTACAATATGCTTTTGATTTTTTTGTTATTATTATTATTTGTATTTTTGAAAAGTAATCAATTTTCATGACCTTGGGATATTTCATCCTCTTCATATTTGTCAAATGGACAGCTATCTGTAAAAATATCTGACCTTTAAATTAATTTCATTCCCCTATTCTTCTAACCTTTAAATCAGTACATACCTTCCTCATTATATTTTAAATTTCAGATTTTATGATACCATCTTTCCAGTTTTTCTTTAGACCTATATACATAAACACCGAACAACTATAAATACTTGTGTATGGTGGCTTAAGTAAATTGTTTTGTCAAAAAGAAAAAGAATTCTCTTGTTGAATCCTGTTCGTTTTTATTTGGTGACGCAATAGGTTATTTTAATTATTTGAACAAATAGTATTCTGCATTAAGGGGGTTAGACCACCATTTGAACAGCTGATAATCATAATAATAATTCATTAAAACTAGTGAAATTTTTAACAAGGCTTAAAGCATGTAATCAGTTCTAGCTTGACAAGCGATGTTTACAAATAGAGTGTACATAAGTGTTGATGAGTTTGGTTGGTGTCTTTTGAAACCGTGAATCGATCAATGTTAGACCACCATTAGAAACCTGGAAGCATTGGACGGCCGTTTCGTCCTAGTATTGGACTTATCAGCAGTGCGCATCCACGACTCCTGCTCCCCGCAGAATCCGAACCCAGGACCTTCGGTATTGTGCGTGAACGCCCTATGCTCTGAACCACTGAGCTGATGAGTCCCATAGCAGGACGAAACGGCCGTCCAGTGCTTCTATGTTTCTAATGGTGATCTAACATTGATCGATTCATGATTTCAAAAATTAGTATTCTTTCACAGTTATTGTCTCCTGTGCCTACATGTCAAACTCAATCCTAATCAACTTTCCTTTGATAAAATGTATGTTGTTTTTGTTGTTGATCTGTAATACGATGTATATAATACTGTCTATTCTAGGCTGTAGGTAGCTGAAACAAATCCATGGATTGAAAATTCATTCATTTTATCCTTTTATGAGAACTGGTTTTTTCCATTTTTATCATTTCAATATTCGGTACATTTACTCAAGTTCTTGTTCATCCAAAATGGTAAAATAATTTGACTTGTTTAAAACGTATGATCATGATATATATATATATATATATATATATATATATATATATATATATATATATATATATTGTTAACGTAAACTGAAACGAATACAGATTGGGTAGCTCTTATGATTATGAATTTTATCGAGAAAAAAGAGTTAAACTTCGAGCAAATTAAATACATCACTACACTAATTTTACATGCTAGTTCCTAATGAAGAATAAATATTTCTTGTTTACTAACATTTACAATAACTTTGAAAAGACACCAGCCCGAATTCATCAACACTTTTGTACACTCTCTTTGTAAATATCGCTTGTCAAGCTAGAACTGATTACATGCTTTAAGCCTTGTTAAAAATTTCACTAGTTTTAAATGAATTATTATTATGATTATCAGCTGTTCAAATCAGTAAATAATCCTTTAATATTACTAACACTATTTCGCCATTTATAAATACTGATTGTCTTTCGTACTAAACACTATCTCTATCGTCCTACCTACTATATATATATATATATGTTGATATGAATTTTTATGAAAATGTATTTTAATTAATGTTACAACTGACTCTTACTTAGGCCTGACTTTATCAGCATATTCTAATACATGGGACTAAGTATATGTTTTGAATGTAAGTTCTTTGTGCTTGGGAACATACACTGAAGTGATTGTTTTGTTAAATATTACTGAATGAATATGACTGTGCAATGTAAGCTAAACATGAACAGTGCTTTTAATTAGAACAGTATGAAAACATAATGTGATTGAATTGAAGCCACTGAATTGTGATTCGAGCTGCTTTCACTTTGTGGTGAAAAAAACGATGAAAAGTAAAAACTAGTATATTTATCTTTAATGCTTGGCATTCAATGAGTTCAACTCCCAGTAACATCAAGTGTTTTCTTGGAATTTAAGTTGCATGCCAGCTAATTTTCCATAAAATTAAGTGTTCTTTCGCTAGACCGATGGTTTTAGGTTCAATTTCCACCTGCTGCACTATGGTTTTACATTACTGTTGAGTCCCTCACTAAGACGAAACTGTTGTCCAGTGCTTCTATATTTCTAATGGTGATCTAACATTCATGGGTTCATCATTTCAATGTAATTCCTTATGTTTGGTTTCTATCAGTATTTTTAATGAAATGAATAGTGCTGATTCTTTCTGGCATTGTATTCTATCTGCCTCAGAATTTACATGTAAGATTGTATATTTCATTACAACTTAAACTGGTCATAAAACTCAAATACACTCGTTAGTATTATTTACACCATACTGGATAATAAATTACTCCAAATAATACTACACCAAACATTGATGATAAATAAATGTTAAGTCTTTTAAATAAGCAAGATATATGTAGGCGAACTAAGCAAGGCACACTTGCACACAAATAAAAATTTCCAAGGTTATAAGCGAATAATTGATAAAGTCAAAGGACATGTGAATAACGACTCGAAAGGGATAGTTTGATGAGTTTATACGTAGGCTGGTTAAAGCCATGTGGCTCAACATACTAGTATACATCATATGATAAAATGACTTTCATAAATGACAGTACAAGTTTGTTCATTGACAGATCATCGTAAATTATTCCTGTGCAAAGTTTCTAAAATTGAAGGAATTGTTTAGAAGGAGCGTTTGATCCCTTGTAGGGTTTCAGACCAAGACAATAAAGAAGTCTACTGATTTCTGAATTTCATTAATTCCTAAGTTTTTGTTGCTTTATGAGATGAAGCCATCTTTAAATTTATCGACAAAAAATGAAAATTAGATTCATAGATATCAGTGAGAAATAGTGTTTCGAGTTAGGCTTTATTTTGAATGAAAAGTAACATTTATATTCATGTATGAAGTCGATCTGTGAGTCAATATTAACAGTAAAATAGACTGCAAAACTAGTCACAGTCGGTGTAAAACAAAATACTCAGTGATAACATGATGACAGGTATAGTAGACATTAAATGAGTAATCAACATAACAGTAGTTTCAGAAAGCATTTTAACACATAAAAAGTTGGTCAGAATATGAGAAAATAAACTACTGAAATATTAGGTAACGCTACTTAGTAATAATAGTGTACTTCATCAAACTGTAAAGGCAAGTAATCAAGAAGTGATTTAAAAAACGATGTAGAAAAGCATGGGCCAAGAAACACTAAATCAATAGTCTGGTGTTTGCTGACGGATAGAAGTACATAAATATTTCAGGCAATTTTATAATTTAGCTACTAGTGCTGCTGGTTTAAATTCTTTTAGTTCCCACTATTTATAAGTAAGACCGAATCCCCTTGGGAAAAAGTTTAGGTCATCGATAAATCCCACTAAATGTTTCGGTTATATTTAGTGGATGGTTGTTTCATGTCACTTGCAATTAAATGGATTTTCTGACTAATTTGTCTGATTTTTTCAAACCAAGATTGGACATGACTACTACCCTGCTTTGTTTTCTGGCAGTAGTTCTTATGTGGTTCTCTAAGCTTGGGCAGCTGAATTCATAGATATATATTCAACAGAAACCAGGTAACTTACTGTATGTTGAAGTAAATCCGAGTGTAGAACCAATTCAAAATACTATTGATCAATTTGAGGAATAAATATTTATTGAGGTTTTAAGAATGAAAATACCATTAGGTATATATCACTGATAACTTGCGAAGGTAGAACAATTATATTTAAACGCCTTGTAATATGTCAATTTCACCTGGCAAACGGATGTGTACATGACATCCTGACAACCAAAGTTTGAAAATCCAAAGAATGTCTCTATGGAAAATAATTTGATTCCAGTGCGTAACATTTCATTAGCGTAAGCTCGATAAGCCGTTTTACTAATGATTACCTTAAACAAAGTAGCTGAGTGATTTTTAAAATTGATCTTTTTACCACTGAAGTTTTGTCAACCTTTTTAATAGATTTATGCACTGACTTCCTATTTTCCTCATTTGATAACCTTTATAGCTTAAATATCTTATCATAGAAATGCAACAATACTATTTAAAGCGATTTATAAATGTTTCATTTATTTAGACGCGTTTCTATTCACTTTATTTTATAGATATGTTGCTGTGACTAGACCGATTACATATGCTCAACATAGTAAAAATGTTCGCGTTGGAATCACCATCGCAGCCACATGGATATTATCATTTATAATTGCATTGCCAATAGCCTGTGGATTAAATAATGCGCCATATCGAAATTTAGAAATGTGTGTTATGTACATTCCTGAATATATAATTGCTTCCTCCATTGGATCATTTTATGTACCATGTACAATTATGATTGTATTATATTATCAAGTATTTAAAGCGATTCAATCAAGAACTAAACGATCTAAATTGATAAGTATACGTAATCAAGTGAAAAATTATGCAAAACATTACAAAACAATGAACCAGACAACTGTTAAACCGATCGAAGATAAGGAGGTGAATATATGCAACAGTTTAGAAGATATGACATATTTAACTGCAATTAATCCACAAGTATGTGATTGCCACTCAAGTGGTATTGATACATATATTGATTCAAGTCATATAACAAATGTGTCTTATTGTACAGAGAATCATCGTACATATAAAACAAATGATATGAATGATCAGTACTCGGCAGACATAAACGGTACATCTAACTTATCTAATTATTGCTGCCCTATTAATTATTCAGAAACTATACCAAGTTCACTAGAATCTAATGAAACTAATCAACTTCAACCAACGCTTATATTAATTAATTCTGAATGTATTAAAAATCCTTATGAACCTCAAATTCCCTCAGTAACTTTGACAGAATCATCTACAAAAACCAAAAATGACAACAATAATGCAATTATTAAAGTTAATAATAATAATAATAATAATAATAGTAATAATAATAGTGATATACCAAGCTCACAGCCAGAATTCAAAAACATGGATGATTTTCGTAAACATTTAAAAAATCGCATCAAACAAGCAAAACGCAGTAGTTTATCTATGATAACAACTAATGTATTTGCCGGTTTATCTAGTAAACAAGTATATGCATTGAATACAAACACTGATGTGAAAAAATCCACTGCAAATAAATTTACATCGTCATTATCATCTAAACGACAAATTAGACGTATTAAATCACTTATTCCCTATGATGTTTCTAAATCATTCAGTGAACAAACTAATAATGAACAATTATTGAAAAGATCCATTTTTAAAACTCGCAAAAGTCAGATTTCCAGTGAGATTAAAAAGAAACAATCAAACCCGGATATAAACTCATCATCCAGTATAATGAATATGACTTATTTTTTCCCAAACAGATCTGGAAGTAATGTAACTTTAAAAGAAAGTCTAGCTGCTAAACGGGAAAAGAAAGCCACAAAAACATTGGCTATTGTTTTGGGTAAGTATGAAAAATTATTTCAACATATATATGTATATGTATATATATATAATTATTATTTGATATTTATACAACTAAAAAATGCCAGATTAAATCGGTGAACACTGTTTTGTCAAAAATATAGGTTTTCCCTAGAATAATAACAACTTTATCTTACAGTCAGATCTAAATTCTAAATCGAAAAATTGTTTATTTCTATGATAGGTGTATAATCATACCGCACCTTAAAATCTTTGAAAATGAGTACGGTACACACAGATAGTTAGTTGAGAGTGAAAACGATATCTGTAAACAAATTGTAAATGTATTCGAAGAACAGATCAGTTTATTGTGAAAACTGAAACTCTTTTTTTCAAAATGAAACTGTATGATATTACACCAAGTTTATCCCAGTTTTGAAAAGTATCATACCTGTACACAAACGACTAACAACCTTGACTGTATAATTGTTTTTTGATGTTTTGCAGTTCTTCTTCGATTGTTACTTTTCGCCAAATTAAGCGTTACATTCATGAGTTAGGAAAATGTTAAGGTTTAGGTCTGAGCTACATGTCCTTACTGGACATATCTATTGAGTTAGTTATTTTATTCAAGTTTTTGTTTTAACCATCAGTTATGTAGACACAAAATCAAAATTTATACTAGTGATGTGTATAAACAACGAAACAAAGCTTCTAACTTCGGAAGATTCACAGACATGCCTTAGAATTTCTATTCTTGATATTTTGATACCGCATGTTCTAAATAACATAATTATAGTTTTCACATAACTACTTACGAATCTGCCGATTCTTTTGAATAAATTAATTAACATTATTGATTGCTTTCCTTTGCAACCTACATAATTTGAATCTAACATCATTGGCAAACTTTTAATCCGAGTATTGATCGTACAGTTCAAACAACAATCATATTTAATAAAACAATATGAATCGGAAAAAACAGTTGTTAAAATAATTTTACGACCATGGATTTAGAAAGTGTAAACTATGACACTTTTTATAGACTAAAAAATCGACTGCATAAATAATTTGATGACTTTTATTTGCAAAAATGTTATTTACATTGTGAAACATAAATATTTATTACAATAAAAAACTTCAGTATTAAAAATGCTGCAATTGATTTTGCTTCTGTTGATAGTTTAAGATGATTTTTTTTGAAGTTGCCGTTCTTTTGAACGATAGTCATCAGATAAAAGTTATTAACAATCGATCAGGTTCAAGATCAATAGAATAAGCTATAAGTTGTATGTGGAGAAATTTGACTACTTCACTTTTACCTGAAATTGTGTTGATGTTGCTTAGAAGAACATTGAAAACTCCAGAACAGTCCATCCAACTCATAGAATGAGACTCCAAAGAATTTATTTCATATACTGCTTTTACTTCAGCTGTTTGTAGAATTCCGAGTCTAAGTGCTTATGAGTAATGATACAAAACACGATAGACTATGGAAATTGATTGGTCTATCGGTGTAGAATTAAAAATTGTTTTGAAAATTTATTTACATCTACTCATCTGAATATGTTACGTGAGTTATTTTTTGAATGCCTGTTTGCACTGTTTAAAAACGTTATAATGTGACTGCTCAAGTTAATATTATAATAGTATAAGCAGTTCGAGCAATTTGATTTCTTTTTAAAATTGTTTTAACAATTTACAGTTATAAGTTCTTTTAAGGAAACAGTTGTCTTTTTTATCATTTGATTGCATACAGAGTTAAAGCTTCATGAGAGAATAACCAACTAAAAGCTTATTTCTTGAATATACACTATTAATCCCACATCTGTAATTAGTAAAACGATGCATTACTAGTCAAGAAACATAAGTTAGAACACAAGCAGAAGTACAATTGAATACACTTCACGAATTTTTCAGATAAAAGCATAATATTTAGTCAATTTAATTCAAATAGACTATCTTCAAAATGTAAAACAGTAATAATATTTTCACTATAAAAGTGTGATTCTTTTTACCTACTAAGCGGCATTAAAAACAAACTTTCAAAAGCGATTCGTGACATTCCATGATTGTAACGGTATATATATGGCTCATAAAAAAAACAACAGCTTGAATTAATAGTTGTCAGTAAACTTTTGAGTCGAAACAATACAATTTATTGTGAAATTTTGATGTAAATTAGGAGCTCAGTTATGTCAAAAAATAAAACTGATTTCCATTTATCCAAGATTCAAAAAACGTGAACAGTGCGACGTAACATCAACTAGTGAAATGAAAAGTGTCGTCGAAATTGATTCGCTTCCAACCTGACTAGCTGAATTTCAAAATTTTAACTATAAAAATTATATGCGCTAGTTTGAGTGACCTATCACGAAAAGCTGCCGGCTTATAAAAAAAACGGTTAACTGTAAAAAGCCATTAATTACGGCGGACTAAAAGTTTTACAACGAATAAATAACCCAAACATTTTGAATTACTCCTTGTAGTGAAAAACTCCGCCAGTAGAACCTTCGGGGCTACTGCCGGTCCCAGAAAAAATGATTCAAACCATTTTAACTCTGCCCTGGGAGTTGGAGGAAGAATTATGACGTCGCGTGATGAAAGCCGAGTTCCCTCGGAAGTCACGGGGCTGATGCTTCTTCTGACAACTAAAGCAACCATTTTTTTAGGTACATGGAACGTTCGAACATTGTGGGAGACTGGAAGACTATTTCAAGTTGCGGCAGAAATGAAAAGATACAACCTCGAGGTGCTTGGAATCAGTGAAACACATTGGACACAAGTAGGACAACTGAGACTAGCTTCAGGGGAACTGCTGTTATACTCTGGTCATGAAGAGGAAAACGCTTCACATACACAAGGAGTTGCACTGATGCTGTCCAAACATGCACAAAAGGCACTGATAGGATGGGAATCTCATGGTCCGAGGATCATTAAAGCATCCTTCAAAACAAAGAAAGAGGACATTACAATGAACGTCATCCAATGTTATGCACCTACCAATGACTACAGTGACGACGTTAAAGGTCAATTCTACGAGAGGCTGCAGTCAATCGTCGAGAAACGTTCACCAAAGGGTTTGACGATTCTTATGGGAGACCTGAATGCCAAGGTTGGCATGGACAACACTGGATATGAAGACATCATGGGACGACATGGACTGGGAGAAAGGAACGAAAACGGTGAGAGATTTGCAAACCTATGTGCCTTCAACAAACTGGTCATCGGTGGCACAATATTCCTGCACAAACGCATTCACAAAGCCACATGGATTTCACCGGACCACACTACTCAAAACCAAATTGACCATATCTGTATCAACAAAAAGTTCAGAAGGACCATGGAGGATGTGAGAACCAAGAGAGGAGCTGATATAGCTTCAGACCACCACTTGCTGATCGCCAAAATGAAACTGAAGCTAAAGAAGCACTGGACAACGGGACAGACAACATCACAGAAGTTTAATACGGCCTTTCTTCGGGATACTGTAAAGCTCAACGAATTCAAGATAGCCCTCACCAATAGGTTCCAGGCCTTTCAGGATCTACACAATGGAGAGGATGCAACATTGGAGAACAATTGGAAAGGGATCAAGGAGGCAATCACTTCAACATGTCAGGACGTCCTTGGTCGCAAGAAGTACAATCACAAGGAGTGGATCTCTGTTGGTACTCTTGCCAAAATTGAAGAAAGGAGGAACAAGAATGCAGCAATCAATGTCAGCCGAACAACAGCGGATAAAGTTACCGCACAAGCTGCATACACAGAAGCAAACAGGGAAGTGAAGAAGAGCATCAGAGCTGACAAACGAAAATACGTGGAAGATCTAGCAATGACGGCGGAAAAGGCTGCAAGAGACGGAAACTTGAGACAATTGTACGAAACTACAAAGAAGCTCGCCGGGAACTATCGTAAACCAGAACGACCAGTGAAAAGCAAGGAAGGCAAAGTAATCAGCAACACTGACGAACAGCGAAATAGGTGGGTAGAGCACTTTAAGGAACTATTGAATCGACCAGCTCCTCTGAAGACCCCCAACATCGAAGCAGCATCTACGGACCTCCCAATTAATACTGGCGCACCTACAATTGAGGACATCAGTATGGCCATCAGACAAATCAAGAGCGGCAAAGCAGCAGGACCAGACAACAATCTAGCAGAGGCACTAAAATCAGATGTAGAAGCAACTGCGAAAACATTGTTAGTTATTTTATAACTAATTGTAGTTATGTCATAACTAGTCAATCAGATTTGTTAAGCGCTCACCACGTCATCTAGTCTGACTGGTGTATAAAATTTCTTTGTTGTGAATGGTCCATCGATTGATGGATGTTATCATTTTATTTATATTGCTGTGACTCATGTTTTTTATTCATTTTCTAAAGACACGCTATACTGTCCGGTACGTTTGCTCATCTTGCTTGATAATTGTAATTTCCTTATTTATTGTACTAAATTAATCGCTTTTTGTTTAGAAACAGATAAAGTTTAATACCGAATTGTCTTCTGTTAACTATAGTTTCACTCTGGACTCTGTCATCGGCAGTATTTGCGTTTACGTTTTTAGAATTACATCTGTAGGACAAAATTAAATCCTACATAGTTTCGGACAGTATTTCATCAGAAGTTCATATACTAATTGCTTTCAAATGTCCACGGAGATTCTTAAAACTGATCAGATTCCTAAATTGTCTCCCTACCGCTCGGAAACTCACAGTGAAGACCAGTTTAGAAGAAATAGCTACCGAATAGATCCTTTGTTAGAGTTAGAATTAGCAAAAATACGTTTAGCTCATATAGAGAAAGAAATTGAGTTAGAACGCTTACGTCAAAAAGGAAGAGAATATCGTAAACAAGTTGTGGCCGTTTCCGAGAAGAAATCAAATTTGTTTATTATGGAAAGTAACAGTGAACATGATAAAATTCAGATAAACCTGAATGGAAGAAACCCTCCTCGCACTAAATCGACAGATCAGGATTTTTCTAGTTCTCTTTCTAATCATTATGTTTCTCACAAAGAGGCTTCCGTTGCATCAC